TAGCTAGGTGTGGTGGCGGGCACCTATAATCCCAGCTACATGGGAGGTTGAGGCAAGAGAATCACCTGAACCCAGGAGACAGAGTTGCAGTGAGCCGAGATCGCACTACTCCACTCCAGCCTGGGCAACAGAGTGAGACTCTGTATCAAAAAAAAAAAAAAAGATACGGCAAGGGGCTGAGATACTAATGCAAAAAGGACATCCATGAAGAGCTTGGACTGGAGATGGACCTGAATATTGAGATGTATTTAGGAAGCAGAAGAGAAGAATACATTCCTGTTCCTTTGTGTGGCAAAGGCATAAAGTCTAGACGCAGCTCTGAGGGTTTTGGAAGCCAGAGCTGTCTCTGTATTTGCAATATCTGAGTCCCCAGGTCCCCAGAGGGCAGAAGCTGCACCTGCCTTCCTTCCCCTTCTTCCCCGGGGGCTCTACAGGAAACAGCAGGGACTTGACCCACCCCTGCTGCCCATCCCCCCAGAGCCCAGCAGTGATTGACTCCCCGCTGAAGCTGGAGCTGCGTGTTCTGGCCCCACCGCGCTGCACCATCAAGCCCGCTGGCACCACCATCTCTGTCACTGCCAGCGTCACCATTGCCCTGGTCCCACCAGACCAGCCTGAGGTCCAGCTGTCCAGCATGACTATGGTGCGGATCCCAGAGTGGGGGCTGCTGGCCAGGGGTCAGGGAGAAATGGGCTGTGGGTCACTGATTTTTCAGTTCAGTAACATTCTCCTCTCCATGTTGCCGAAGGATGCCCGTCTCAGCGCCAAGATGGCTCTCCGGGGGAAGGCCCTGCGCACGCAGCTGGACCTGCGCAGGTAGGCAGGTACACCTCCCTGCAGTGTCTTGGGGACAATCACACCTGTCCACTGGGATGCTAGAGCTAAAATTCAGTCATACCTATAAGCCACTGAGAGCTGGGGTCTGTCTTTGTTAATGTATGCAGAAGTGCTTTGGTAAAGCCTAACTCCTCCACATTCTCACACATCCCAGAGGCACACAGGGCAGGTATTATGAGAGATGAGCAAACGGGTCCACAAGGTTAAATAACATGGCCACAGTCACACAGCAAAGATCACAACATGGGTTTTGACAAAAACCTCAGCACAACACAGCTTTGTGACCTTAAGGCCATTTTATCTTTCTTTTTTAAAAATGTTACTCCTTTTTTTCTTTTCCTCCCTGAGATGGACTTTTGCTCTTGTTGGTCAGGCTAAAGTACAATGGTGAGATCTTGACTTACTGCAACCTCCGCCTCCCGGGTTCAGGCAATTCTCCTCAGCCTCCCAAGTAGCTGGGATTACAGGCGTGCACCACCACGCCCAGCTAATTTTTGCATTTTTAGTAGAGACAGGGTTTCACCATGTTGGTCAGGTCTGGAACTCCTGACCTCAAGTGATCCACTTGCCCTGCCCTCCCAAAGTGCTGGGATTACAGGCGTGAGCCACCGCACCTGGCCTTATTCTTTTATTTTTACTGTATTTATTTATTTTTGAGACAGGGTCTGACTCTGTTGCCCAGGCTGGATTGCAGTGGTGCAGTCATAGCTTACTGCAGCCTTAATCTCCTGGGCTCAAGTGATCCTCCAGCCTCAGCCTCCCAAGTAACTGAGACTACATGTGCGCACCACCATGCCTATTTTACATTTAGTAGAGACAGGGTCTCACTTTGTTGCCCAGGTTGGTCTCCAATTCTTGGGCTCAAGTGATCTTCCCACCTTAGCCCCCCAAAGTGCTGGAATTACAGGCATGAGCCACTACACCCAGCCCATTCTGTCTTTCTAGGCCTCATTTTCTCCATGTGTTTAGTACAGGTAAAAGTAGCATCTGCCAGCCGGGCGCGGTGGCTCAAGCCTGTAATCCCAGCACTTTGGGAGGCAGAGGCGGGTGGATCACGAGGTCAAGAGATCGAGACCATCCTGGTCAACATGGTGAAACCCTGTCTCTACTAAAAATACAAAAAATTAGCTGGGCATGGTGGCGTGTGCCTGTAATCCCAGCTACTGAGGAGGCTGAGGCAGGAGAATTGCCTGAACCCAGGAGGCGGAGGTTGCGGTGAGCCGAGATCGCGCCATTGCACTCCAGCCTGGGTAACAAGAGCGAAACTCCGTCTCAAAAAAAAAAAAAAAAAAAAAAAAAAGTAGCATCTGCCTTCTATGGCTGTGCTGTCCAATATGATAGATACTAGCCATACTGGACTAGTGACTATTTACATTTAAATTAATTACAATTAAATAGTTTTGGCTGGGTGCCATGGTTCACGCCTGTAATCCCAACACTTTGGGAGGCTGAGGCGGGTGGATCATGAGGTCAGGAGATCAAGACCATCCTGGCTAATGTGGTTAAACCCTGTCTCTACCAAAAATACAAAAAAATTAGCTGGGCATGGTGGTGTGTGCCTGTAGTCCCAGCTACTCAGGAGGTGAAGGCAGGAGAATCGCTTGAACCCAGGAGGCAGAAGTTGCAGTGAGCCGAGATCACGCCACCGCACTCCAGCCTGGACGATAGAGTGAGACTGTGTCTCAGAAACGAAAAACAAAATAGTTTTCCAGTTGCACTAAGCCACATTTCATTAGCCGCATGTGGCTGGTGACTATCGCAGTGGACAGCGCAGATAAAAAACATTTCATAGAAAATCCAACTGGACAGTGCTGTTCTAGGGCTAGAGGAGATAATGCTGGACCCCAGGTTCTAGAGGCAGGTTCTGGCAGCTGTGTGACTTCAGGCATGCTTAACCTTTTGGGGCCTCATTTTCCTCATCTGTAAAGTGCAAATCCTAATAGTGCCTACTCCTTAGGCTTGTTATAAGGACTAAACCAGTTGGTACTGTATTTTAAAATATTTTACTAATATTAAACTTTTTAAACATGTTGGCTAGGTGCGGGGGCTCACACCTGTAATCTCAACACTTTGGGAGACTGAGGTGGGTAGATTGCTTGAGGCCAGGAGTTCAATACCAGCCTGAGCTACAAAGTGAGATCCTGTCTCTACAAAAAACTTTAAAAGTTGCCAGGCGTGGTGGCTCATGCCTGTAATCCCAGCACTTTGGGAGGCCGAGGTGGGCAGATCACCTGAGGTCAGGAGTTCGAGACCAGCCTGGCCAATCCCATCTCTACTAAAAGTACAAAAAAATAGCTGGGCATGGTGGCGAGCGCCTGTAATCCCAGCTACTCAGGAGGCTGAGGCAGGAGAATTGCTGGAACCCGGGAGGCGGAGATTGCAGTGAGTCAAGATCGTGCCACTGCACTCCAGCCTGGGAGACAAGAGCGAGACTCCATCTCAAAAACAGAAAAAAATGCCGGGCGCGGTGGCTCAAGCCTGTAATCCCAGCACT